AGGATAGTACATCCCCCCTCAGGACTGGTGCACAATTTGGAGGTCATCTTGCAGCCAGTGGCAGCTGTGGCTGAAAAGACCATTGCACAAATTCATCTAATGTGCCAGCTGTACCCATACCTAGACCAGGAGGCACTTAAGAGAGTCATTCATGCTTTCCTCACCTTGCAATTGGACTACTGCAATGTGTTCTACATGGGGCTGCTTTTGGAAGCTGCAGCTGGTCCGGAATGTAGCAGTTATGACAGGCCACGGCATGCCCATGTAACAGCTCTGCTCCATGAGCTGCCCTGGTGCCAGGAGCCTTCTAAGTGCAATTCGAGGAGATAGTTATCACCTACAAAGCCCTTCATAGGCTCTAGTTCTTCGAGGGAACACCATTTCTCCCAAGACTCTTAGAGATTCAAACAAGGCCTTAAAACCTGGGTCTATTCCCAGACCCTGGGTTAGGGCAGGTGATGGACCACATTTGTGTTTTAAATGAGCATCCATTTTTTCCAGACTTTCTCTTTTGGTGATAGTCATTTTTTTACTGTTTTTTTTTAATTGTTGCATTCTACAAGCTACCCAGAGTTGTAATAGATTGGGACAGCCTGTAATTCTCACAATTAATAAATAAAGTGGGATCCTCAGCAGTATGGTGTGACCCAGTTATGTCAAGCCTAAAGTGGATCATGTCATTTATGACATAGATTCCTCAACAAATGCAGTGTTAGGTGGTGAGGATCCAGAACATTGCATAATCCTGTTATTGGAGGATGCTTTCAAATTCTTAAAATCTGCATGTAATTAGTCAAGTCCAGCCAATCACATATATTCAACTCTTTCCAAAGGCTTTTAAAAACTGAATTGTTTTGGAGAACCTATGGAGGATGAAATGATGCTACTTTGTTGCTTGATTTTATATTTTTTCCCATTTTTAATTCTAATTATGGATGTTTTACTGAAATTTTATTGTATTTTTTGTTAAATTTACAGGTAGCATCAAGGGAAAAATTAGGAAAAACAGATTTAAAAGCATTGTAAAATCAACTAAAAGGATTTCAAAATGACATTGATATAAATCAATGATATATTAGTATATATTAATTGGAAGCTTTAACATTAATACTGTACAAAAATTAACTAAAATTTCAAGTTGTAAACCAAAATAAAAAATTGGAATATTTTTTACTTAAGAAATTTGGCAAATTTAATAGATCATAAACAAATTAAATATTATAGCCTTATATTAGAAAAATCCCAAACTTTGAATGTGGTACAAATTCATTTATAACATATAGTCCAAAAATTATTTTCACGCTGAATTAAATTCTGTATCAGATTTGTTTCTCAAATATGAAGTTAGTTTGATATTGATGCAAACTCCTGTAACTTAATTTGCCATCCTTCTATGGAAGGAACTGTTTGTCATTTCCAATGAGAAGTAGAAAATCCTAGCAGCTGCTATCATGTCCAAAGCCAGTTCAGTATAATTTGTGAGAATATAAGGTTTAGTAATCTTTAGTTAAAACTAAAATAGGTTGAAGAGAAAAAATCTATATTTAAAATTTGTTTCATTCTATTATAAATAATTTTCCAGAACTGTTGGGCTATATAATGTTGCCACCATATATGAAATAAATTATTCCAATCTGATTACTGCATTTCCAACAATTTTTAGAAAACAAATTGTCTACTTTGGCAATCAATGGTTGAATAATATACCATCCATAGAATATCTTTTATCAGTTTTCTCTTAGTGTAATATTATCCATAAATTTGACTTTTCTTCCATTGATATTCCCACTGTCAATAGTGTCTTTAGAACTATACTGCTTATATATACTACCTCAACGAGGTGATGGCAACCATTCTAAAGAGATTTAATCTCTTATTAATGAAATCTTGCAATATGTACAAATTCTTATCCCTCCACTTAACACTTTATTGCATTGTAATTGCCAAGAGTTTCTGAACAGCAGCAGGTATAAATCTAATTAATAAATACATAAAAATAATCATTGCAGCTCATTGTTTATTACTGTATTTTTCCGAGTATGATACTTTTTTCTAAAATCCTGACCCTAAAAACTGAAGGGCGTCTTATTCAAGGAAGTCAGCCGAGGAGAGAACCACGCGGTTGCCCATACTTTGTCTCTGCAGAGAGGCTTCCTCCTATTGCTAGCCTCCAATCACGAATGAAATAGCTTGAGTCTGCAAACAGACTTCCTCCAATCATGAGCCAGATGTAACTGATGTCAGCTGATGCTGAACAAACCAATTGGAGGAAGTCTGTTTGCAGAGAC